AAAAGAATAAAAAATAAAAGGGAAAAGGGACGGCTTAGTGGTACTCTCCTTTTCTCTCCATTATCTCTCTCTCTTTCTCTTCCAGATAGCAAGAGAACGCATACGATCTTGCGGGTGTGTATAAGAGAAAGGGATAGGGAATGGGTGGTGGGGGGGTTAGGAAGGGTAGGGAGGAACTCGTCTTCTCGGCATGCACATTAAGAGGTCACGCTCCGGCAGGTGGCGGACTCGTGATTCACTCGGTCGGTCTCTTCGTGCTAGGTGCTCGTACCGTGAGGCGACCATTTTCACTAACACGAGCGCAAAATTATTGTCAAGGAGAACTACGTACCATACTTTAACTTCTCTCGTAAGGAAAATAAGAAAATCTAACGTATACTTGATTTATTTTATCGTTCCATTAATTTTTTTTTATTTTTGATCTGACTGTTAAACTTATAACGTGAGATTCTCGAATTGTAACTGTAATAAATGAATATTTTCTTTTGTTTCTTATGCATGTGTAATCTAATATATTATACAAGTGTAGTAAATGTATAGAACAATTTGACGTTGATCTCCTTCGCCATTCTATTTCAGATTAAATTAGATAGATATTCGAATTGAGTACCTTTGGATGAAGTGGGGTGGGGATATCGTTCTTCAAAGTTCCTATTAGCTTTCCAATTTCCATCGTATTTCCTTGGTATCTTCTATTTGACCCTACTACCACTACTCTTTGCCACTTTACCTTCTTATCCCTTTTCTCTTTGTACGACGACACCAACGTGTCCGTATGTGCCCTCGAGGTCTTACCGGGAGCTCATAAATCTTCTTAAATATCTTCTCTATCTGCCGAGCATCCGAGTACGTGCGGCTTGGTACTACTACTCTCTTTCTTTCACTCTTTCTTTTTATTTCTTTCTTTCTTTTCTTCCCTCTTTCTTTCTTTCTTTCTCTCTCTCTCTCGTATTCTCAACCTCTCACGGAAGGTAAAAGACCATGGCAGGAGTCGCTGGACAGAACACAGCTGCCGCTTAACAGTAGTTGTAATGGGCATGCAGAGTGCGCGGGAGTGCAATCAGACTTCATCTCGTTGCGAAGCTTCTGAACTGAGAGCATACATCACAAGTATATATACGTGTGTTCTTACGAAGCCCCTGTCACGAGTATACTTCGTTCATTGTTTCTGCTTTATAACCCGGAGCTTCTCTTCTCTTCTCTTCTCTTCTTTTCCTTTACCTCCTTCTCTTCCTCTCGTGTTTCTTCTTCTTCTTCTACTTCTTCATCTTCATCTACCTCCGTCTTTATCCGACCTCGCTCCATTTTCTACCCTTCTTTCAATATCCCCCTATCTCTCTTTCCCTTCAGATGCAACCAACGTATCAACCAATATATAAACGTTTAACCTCCTTCGTACACGCAACAATTTATTTCGTAACGTTAAGATTATTCTCTCCTCTACGATTACTTTATAACGCCCAACGAGAGAACAACGATCGTTCGAATTTTCTCTCGTTTAATAATATTTGATGGCTCTTGGAAGATACCATAGACTATTTGTGTGGTTGTAAACTTTTTCAATTGAAAAAAATAAAAAAAGTAACTTAAACGTATGTATATGCATATAAATACAATACTTACATAAAAACATGTATAGTTAGAGTTAGGGATATTTTCTTCTTCTTTCTCTCTCTCTCTCTCTCTCTCTCTCCCTCTCTTTTTCTCTCTTCGTTTAATCTTCTCGTTCCTTTTCAAGACTGTTCAAGAAAAAGACGGAGAAGGGGCAAGAAGGCAAACGCAGGAACACAGCAACGGTTGCAATTGCACCGCTCACCGGTGTATCTCTTCTCTTTTTCACTCTCGGGTACTTTCCATTCCTTTTCTTTCTCTCTCCCTCTCTCTCTCTCTCTCTCTGGTCATCCCAAGTTGTGTCTTCTTGTTCGTCGTCTTTCGGTCCGCTTGGCATAACTTGGCTTGGCTTGGCTTGGCTTTGCTTGGCTTGGCTTGGCTTCACTTTACTTGGCTTTGCTTCACTTGGCTTTGCTTCACTTGGCTTTGCTCGAACAATCACGGGTAAGCACACGATCGTGGCTCGTCGCGCGGCACGAGCACGCCGTCAGAGTTTGCAGCTGTGCATGGTTTTCTTCTTCTTCTTCTTCTTCTTCTTCTTCTTCCTTCCTTCCTTCCTTACTTACTCCCTACCACTTTCAAAGTATCGTCTCCTTTCTCGGATTAAACTCCTTCTTCTTCGTCGTCCTCTCTTCGTCCTTTTCATACTTTTTTATTCTTCTTTTCTTTCTTTCTCTTTCTCTTTCTCTTTCTTTCTTTCGTTGGTAGCCAACGGTTGCTTAAATCGCGAATGCTATACGATCGAAATGATTTTGCACTTTTGATAATATCTCCTTGAATATATTATTATATCTCTATATTTTGTTTTAAAATAACGAAATAAGTCACTTCTGATCAATAATTATTCGTATAATATTTTTTTTCCTATTTATTTGGCATTTCTTTAAAGGTTACATTTCTATATAAAGTATTATTGGGAATAATTTGATTTGTGTTTTATATAATCGTACGATATGTTTCATCAAATTTAATAAGATTCTCATCGTATTTCGATGATCATTTCTCAAGTGAAAATGTAAAAGCAAGTTTCGTAGAATTTAAGGTGAATCGTATTATTTTACCAATACTGGTTCACCTATTTCGTTCAGAGTAAAAGAGTTCGTCGAGTGGGGGAAAGATAAGTTCGTAAAACGAGGTGAAATCGAATCGTGATTACAGGCGGTACTGGTCGATGTTTCGAGCACGCCTTTGAACCCGGAAGTTATCGTCCAATTCGTGCAGGAATCCCTTTTCAACGGAAATCTTTTCTCTTCTCCGCTAATATTTTTATCATTTAATGAAACAAATTTCGTGAAATATCGGGACAGAAAAAAAGAAAATTAATCCAATATATTGATCACATCTATCTCATCTCGTTTATTTTACGTTCAATTTTAACTAAATTATATTTCTAATAACAACAATATTTCTATTAACAGATGTAATTAATATTCTCTATCCAAATATTCATATCAATAAATTATACTAATTGTCCATTACATGTTCCAATTAACGTATCTATGTAAATAGTCATAAGACAAATAATATAGTACTCGATGTATTACATATACTATATATATATATATATATATATATATATATATATATATACCTATATACGTAATCGATATTTCTCTTAGGGTAAACTAATCGGACTAAAGTAGTTTCTAATCATCGTCCCGGTCTGTTTTCTCTTTGAACATGAGAGTCTGACAGGTCGCTAAGGAAATTTCGCGTATATTCTGCGGACGGATCGTGAAACGAAGTAATTAGGAACAGCATAGGAGGTAGATCGTAAAATGGGAAGAGGGAGTTTGAATGTAATACGAGCACCAAACGAACGTCTCAACCACGATCGTTACATCGTGTCGCCATGGATAATTGCTTCTGTGTACACCCATAGTAGACATATAAATCTGTAGAAATTACGAGATGGAGGTGGAGGAGGAGGAGGAGGAGGAGGGGGGGGAGAGGAGGCGTCGACAGGGGTTTGCAACGTCGAAACGATTATTACATCGTACCGGTTCAACGCCTTCCTCTCCCAATATCGATAAATTATCATGCTACACGAATAGTATTCACCATGTGTGTGTGTGTGTGTATGTGTGTGATGTGTATTTCTCTTGTCTTCGATATAATAGATGAAACTATTGTCGATAATTCTAGCCTTTCGATAGATTGATTTATTTAACCCCTATCCAACTTTGGTCGTTACAAACTTTCGAATAATTATTCGGTCATCTCTCCAATATTTTCTCTCGTTAAATGGAATGTAGAAAATTTCACGTGTGTGGTTGAATCAAAATACAATATTTTTAAAAAGAAAATATAGGATATCAATTGTAATTGTTAGACCGTAAAAATATATCGAACGTTACGATACAATTCTTTGGGTTTGTTTTTTTTTTTTTTCATTGTAAAATATATTATAATATAAAAATTTAAATATAAATTAATAGAGACGATATAAATGTAACACGCGTGATTAATTAATAATAAGGGTAATCCAATTTTATTATGGATGATATTGAAAATGTGAAAGATGAGTTTTTCGTGAAAATGTGAAAATAATATATGAATAAATGGTGTATCATCGTAAACATTAAATATATATTTTAGTTCTCTCTTTCTTATATCAGTAGCAGGAGCTAACGCGTTGCAAAAGGTACGCAGCTTATCGAGTTTGTGCCATCTTCGTCGCGGGCTAACACCTTGGGTGGCATTTCGTTTAGTTAAGATATCATTGGTAGATCTTGAAACCGTGCGAGAAGGCAAACCGTTTTGTCTCCTGTCACACGACCGCCATGAAGAAGAAGAAGAAGAAGAAAAAGAAGAGACTCTAAACGAGAAACCGTAATTTATATCAGACTTCCACTATATTTTCTCTCACATTTTCTTTATTTCGTTTTAAATTATACTAACAACACAAAGAGAATAAAATTATTTGATAGAATTTCTTTCTACGTTAATCCTTGACCTATTGAAATATGTTATCTCATTTTTATTTCCAAGGACTTTCGCGTTCAACGATCTCAAGTAAGAGTTAAAGTAATTACATCGTGATGTTTCATTTATTAATTCAACTCTTAAGATTCATTCGATTTAATTACATTCATTAATTATATGACTTGCAATCGTTTCCTTTCATTCATCATTAAGAATCGATATATTCTTCAATCTTTTACGTTTTTCATTTCTTATGGTTTTATTCAATTATAATCATTAAAGATAATCATTCTTTCATATTGACGATACAATTTAAGTATAAACTTTTCAAAGATACCGCCATAATGAAGTGGATAGTTAAATGCGTGTAATATTTACATATATACATACATAGATACATAAATATATATTGAATTATTTTGTATATTAAAATAAAATCCATATACAGATTTTTGTTTTTCCTCGTTCTATCGATGTAAACATGTTTTTCAATATAGTTAATAGCTGATTGTTTTCGAACCATTTGGAAGTCAAACGATAGCAATATTGTAAACAAGATAGGTAGAGAAGATTCAGTCTGCGAACAGTCACCTATTTTAGTGTTTACTGTCGAGTCGGTTAAACGTGTACGGAGTACAAGACAATATGGATGCTGCAAATTTCGCTTCGGAGTTCAGTCAATTATTAATGCGTTATACAACACCAAGAAAGACAACGATTGAGAAGGTAAAGTAAACGATTGTTATAATTATCATCATCATCATCATCATTGAATTGTTAGAAATAAAAATAGATTATAAATATTAATCTAATGAGATAAAATCTAATCGTGATTTTATAGACAGAGGAGACAGATATTTCGAAATTATCGTCGGGAATACCGTTACCCTCTGAAACTATAATTCAACTTGTGCAAGAAACTCTTAGTACAATTATACCAGAACCATATGTACCAAATATCAGTACCAGTTGTAATAAGACACCAGGCAATAATATTATTATCAATACTCCGGATGCACCCTTTGTTCAACGAGTTACTGTTAATGGAAATGGAATAATCAGGTTTATTAATGTTTGATTTAATCGATTGTTTTGTTTCCTTGTTTCATTTTTATTCGTTAATCGGTTGCGTTTAATTGAAATATTATTCAACGATAACTTTTTCAATTTACGTTTAAACATAATATTTAGGTATTTTATATATTTTTTAGCGAATGTACGGACAATTTGTCGAATAAATTATCGCCGTTAGATAACAAGGTAGGATTATCTTAGAAATTCATTTTATTTGTTTATACAATTTGAAATTAAATCACGTGATAACGTTTGTTTGTGTATTTTGAAAAATGAATTTCAATTAGAATACATCGTCGCCGAAGATTAATTTAACAAATACAAGCAGATTTGATACCTTCGTACAAGACAACGAGCAGAATACGGATAACGCTGATGAGATATTTAAAGAAATTTCGGACGATTTCATCTTCGAGGGTGAAAACATACCGGGTTATGTACATTTGAAATTGGATTCTTTACGCAAATCAGCCGTTGATGTTATTTCCAAGATCGACGAGATCAAGACACTAAACAAAGATCGTAAACAGGTAGAATGAAAATTATATACGATATATATATATATATATAATATACAATAACTTATGATTAATCGATTAACATTGAAATTCAATTTATTTTCAAGATATTTTATTTGATATTAATGTGATTTTATATAAATGCGTTCGTGACATTTTTAATGCATTAAAATAATAAATATGTCAACGTATAAAAACCGGTGATGTGATATGCGTGGCATAGAACGCGTTTTAAAACAAATCAACGAACGTAAATATTTTCATTACAGCAACCGATCGAGAAATCGTTGAGACCAATTCGACGATTAACATCAATAGGACATTTTGCAGAGGGACAACAATTATTAAAAAAACGAAGATCGTTGATTAAATTTCCAAACACGACACCCACATCCTCGAGATTGAATAGTACAATGACATTAAGTCCAAATCTATCGAAAAGGAAGAGTTCGTCTTCAACGACGCTCAATGTAACAACTGCAGGCACAGTACCAATGAAAACTATATATAATGCAAACATTAGATCTCGGTCAAGTTTATCTGAGGGGGGCTTAAAAAAGTCACCCCTTAACGATGGCAAACCAGCGAAAAATCCTAAATACGCTCACATTAAAAGTAATATTCCAAAACCAACGCCAATTATCAAAAGAACCTGACAACAATTAATTTCTCTTGATAATTCGTTTTATTACTTTTTTTTCTATTCCGTTTATTTATTTTGTTATTTATTTATTTATTTTTTTTTTTTTTTCGTTCTATGGACATACGCGAGTACCACGTTAAAAGGTGTTCACTTTTATACTTCGTAAAATATTTTATATGATCAAATTAATTGAATAATATTATTTTTGCTGTGTGTGGATCTCTCCGCTAATTATTTTTTCCTAACAGCTAAACATTTATTAATTTTCTTACTCATAAACGATTAGCAGTGTTTTATATTTTTCTTGACTCATTTTTTTCGTTTTATTATCAAAATTGTTCGTGTCCATTTCAATTTTGTCATTTCGTATATAGTCAACGTATGACAATTGTACTTTAGAATTACTAAATGAAACATTTTTTCGATACACATAATTATATATACATAATGCTCTTCTATCTCTTATAAGTGAATAAACAGAATAGGGTTTCACTATAAATAGAGATTTTATTCATTAAACAAATTAATATAATGAATTCAACGATTAAATTTTATTTATAACAGTTCCTTAAATCCTCATTTTTTTACGTATAAATAAAAAAACGACACTTAATCTTATTCTTCCCTATCTTTCTTTTAATTCTAACGATCATTCTTGATTTTATTTCTATCTACTCTGTCTACGTGTCACTTTTCCTATTTGCTTCGCATACGTGTCACTTCTCCCACTACCAGCCTAATTACCTTCATTTGTCTTAAAGCAACCTTTCTATTTGTTTACCGACAAATCACGCAACAAAATTCAAATAAAGTAGTATCTGTACTACTTTATATATATAGATATATTGTGTAATAGTCAAATAATTGCAATTGTAAGAGACATTTAAATATGCGATTAACAATAATTAAGAATATGTGTATAGAAATGGATTAATTTAATTAGGATTCATTGAGATTTGTATAAGAACGAAAGAGAGAAAGAGAGAGAGAGAGAGAGAGAGAGAGAGAGAGAGAAATGGGTAACGCAAGTTTTGTACAGTTGCTCACCATCAATGAACATATGTATGTACACGTGACGTATATAAGGTCGCCGTTATATTAGGAATAAGTGAACGATTACGTGCAATCTACGATGGTTGTTATGCTATGAACAGGTTTCTTTGTGTTCGCTTTCTTCGACCGCCGAGAGCCATCATTTAATTTGAATTTTGCTCTCTCGTGAGCGAGATATTTCATTAGAAAAAAAAAGCTTTTCAGAGGTTGCGAAAAATGTATTTAAACTGTGTCGCATATTTTCATTGTAAACATTTGCATTGTTAGAGACGGTGCAATATAATAATTTGATTTATATTATAAAAAAATGAGAGAGGGAAAGAGAAAGAAAATAATAGATTATAAATAATTTTATTGTTCAATTATATTCAAAGCAGAAATCATATAAAAAAAAAAAATAAAAAACCAGTCTTGAAAACGTATAAAGATTCGATTAAAGTATTATAAATCTCGTTCGCGTGAGTGTATCAAACACGCGGGTTTATAAGTTCAAGTTCTAATTCGTAGAAAAAGTTTTTATAAGGTTCGTGGAAGAGTTTTTTTTTTTTTTAAAAAAAAAGATCTAAAGATATCTCTCTCTCTCATCGGGAGGTCCAGATGATCGCGGTAAAGGTTGACCACCAAACACATAGTCAACCAGAACACAACAAGGAGAATCTTTTCTTGTTTTCTTTTTTTTTTTCTAACAAAGTTGAAATATTTTCTAAGGTTTTACGGCTAACACATATTTCGGCACGTGCTCCTAATCTACCACCTTCTTCTTCTTCTTCTTCTTCTTCTTATTTATTTATTTTTTTTTTTTCTTTTACTATATTTCTCGTCATCCTCTTCCTCCTCGTCCTCCTCCTCCTCCACCGCCGCCCTTTAGATTTCGGCTTGTCACCCGTCCATCAAGAAAGACATCACGCTGTCAAAAAAACATACGAATAAAAAAGGAAGAAGGAGAAGAAATGAATATCCTGGTACACTCATAGACAGTCAGATTCACGCGGTTGTTCTTCAGTTGGATCAACATCTGACTCCCCGTCGTGTTCTCTTTGTCCCCGTTCGGGTTTTTGCTTTCCTTCGATTCCCTAGCAAAGGTATGTCATTAAAATTTTATACATCTATACGAAATCATATTGTTATATTATTATGATTGACAGGTATTACAAATTTTCCATAGGGTTTAGTCATTTATTGGGAGAATTTTGAAAATTATCAATATTTGTAAAATGAGAGAGAAAGAAAGAGAGAGAGAATGAGATTTTGAATATTTTATTATAGTATAATTTTATTTAACTATAGCTCACAACTTTTTTTGCTCTTTCTTTTCATCTCTTTTTCTAAAATTGCATTATACATTTTTGTATCGTTAAACAATACATTCTATCAGGTGTGTTAAAAAGGTTTGTGTTCATTCAAGGACAGACACGTGCGCGTATGCATGTAGTTTTTCATCATGCTAATTTTCTGTCGATCGTATTTTTCTTTTTTTTTGCACTGTTGGCTTTGTTGCTCTCCGTATCAATTTTTTTTTCTTTTATACACTACCCTCTCACTTGTATGCTCTTTTCTCACTTTTAATATGATTGTTATCTTATGCAATTATAAAAAACATTTATTAACATTGAATTACGAACAATAGAGAAAATAACGTTAATAATAATAATAATAATAATTTATTATTATAAAAAGCAATTGCTAAATATGATTAATTAATTTATAACAATTACACACGTGTACAATTCTCCAAAGAAAAAAGAAAAACTACAACAAAATTAGATTACCCAAAATAATAATAAACTAATAAGATAATAAATAATAATTAATAGATAATACCGCTGGGGCATGTTAAAAAATGAATATAATATATTTTTGAAATATCATAAATAATAAATAGGATATAATCTTGATTATTTCATAAGAGAGATTATATATACATATATATATATCTTCGAATGAAAATATTTTCTTTAGCTTCCGAAATAAAAATAAACATAAATCCTTACGTTCCATCGTTATGATTCAGGGATAATAATAATAATAAAAATAATAAAAAAAAGGGCAAAGGGGAATGAAAAAAAGCAAAAAAAAAAGATCGATTATTATTTTTTCTTTTATTCGAAGGACTTTATTCCGAGCACGGCTCGGTAATGTAAAAATGCCATTTGACTCTCTCGACTAAAGTTGTTATAGGATAAACTATTATTTTTCTAACTAGAAAAGAGCCGAGTAAGCTTTCCTAGTGGAATCACACGATGGGTTCTTTCTATCCTCGAGGATAACGAAAACAAACTTAAATCGTGTTCCAACATTTTCAATACTTTACAAAGGATTTTCGAAAAGGTATTCAATCATTTTAGAAATCTTAGAATTTGAAGGAAACTGCAAGTTAATAAAAAAAACAAAAATAGAAATAGAAATAGAGAGAGAAAGAGAGAGATAGAGATAGAAAGAACCATTGCATTTGAGTTGAGAATAACAGAATACAAATGACATTGCAAAAGTATTGTGTCAGTAATGATGGGGTTCTCTTGATCGTTCATCCGCTGTCGGCACGGATTGTTTCCAACAAATTATCTCGATTATTAATGTTACAAAGGCGCGAAGAAAACGAGTCTACACCTGTCTTCTCGAGAGATCGCTTCTCATTGCGAAACCAAGGCCAATCTACAGGAGGTTTCAAGTATTATCTATTCTCTATACGATATATAAACGCGATAACTAATCTTCATTCGGAAGAAAAAAAAATAAATAGAGAAATAATCTTTTCGAGACAAAAATTAATTACGCGCAATCCGTTACACAAATACAATACACACAATCACACAGTCACACAGTCACACACATATGCGCACACAAAATAACTTAACAACATTCTTCTTAATCCAACGATCTTGTATTAAGAAGTAAAAAAATACTAATTTATCAGGATACGATGGCAGGCACGTATTAAATAAGAAAAGGGGATAGATTTTTCAAGTTTCTTTGGGGTTTGAAAAATCGTTAATTCGCAATAAAGTCTCTCTCTCTCTCTCTCTATCTCTCTCTTTCTCTCTCTTTCAGTGTCGGCTTTGATCGGGGGAGAATCAGAGACGTTATTATGCATGACGTCGTGAGATTCGAGCAAACTGTTAGTCTCCGAAGAAGGAAAGGAAAGACTAAAAAGGAAAAATAAAAGAGAAGAAGAGGAGATGAAGAAGAAGAAGAAGAAGAAGAAGAAGAAGGAGAAGAAGAAGTAGGATGAGTAGAAGGAAGAGGTTAAGGACCAGGGAATAGCTACAGTGACGTTTCCACGTGGGAGGACATTATCTGCGACGTGTTGTGCCCGTTCGAGGCATCGGGACATCAGGACACACGGGTGCTCAGCGTGACTTCTTATTATTTGGCACGGCGGTCGTGCACACACAGTGCCCCATGACGCGGCTCCAAGTCGTTAGCCACCATTCAAAATCACCTTAAGTCGCCATCAAGTAGCGACTATTTTGTCCTCTCCTCTCCACCTCCCCACAACCACCACCTTTTCCTCCTCCTCCTCTTCCTCCTCTTTTGGTTCTTGTTTCTTTTTCATTTTCTTGTTCTTTTTCTTCTCATCTTCCTACGTCCAACTGCTTCTTTCGAGCAGTCAAGGAATTATAATTTGTACGATCCCTCAGGCCCCACGAGCTGCTGCTGTTGCTGCTGTTGCTGATTCGTCGAACTTACGAAAGATTCTTGGAGAAAAATTCGCGTGCTCGTTAAAGAAATAAGAATCGATGGTAGGTGGTTGTTGGGTGGATCGGGATAGTTAAAAGGTTTCCGTTTGTTTTTTTTCGCGTGACGATCGATCAGGATAAATGGTAGGATGAATGTCGTGTCATGTGAAAGCTATGATCGATTGATTTATTTTAATTGATCAATCATTTTAAATAAGAGAAAGATAAATGCATTATGCATTGAGATAAATAATTTTTGGTTTTGTTTATATATGTTTAAATGTTTCCTACGAATGACATAAAGTTTAATATGATCAATTTGTATTTGTCGTAATAACGTTCGAGATAAATAGATTTGATAATTAATATTGATTTAAAATCTCGAATAAAAGAGCATTGACAGTCATCGGAGTTCGGTTAATTAGCTTAGTATGTTTTGATGTGTTTCACGAGCGGATGAGCTATATCAACGACAAGATTTTTACGATCGGAATGGTTGAAAATTGTGAGCAGCGGGAGTGGCCGTGGTTTCGGTCAGAAAAATTTTAACGCTTTATCTCGCTAACGTAGTCGTCGGATTGTAATAACTACGGACCCAGCAGCATGGTCGGTTGTCGGTTGCTTACATCAGGGGAAGATTTTTCTTCCGAAATATTCCATCGTCCGCTCGTAAAGAGTCGGTGAACGACCGACAAACTCGTACTACGCGCCACGTCGTAAAAAACTAAAATCTCATCGTCTTCGCGCTTTTACACGCGATATACGCGTTCTTACGATAGTAATACAAACCAAGAGAGTATTACGATACCGTTATTAAAGTCCCTATGATCACGTTGAAAATACGCCTAGTAGACCTCAATTTTCTATTCTTGCCTACGTATCTCTAACGTTTCTTACTATCATATATCTCTTAACTCTCATCTAATCGTTAGATAATAATACGTAGGTGTTAATTTGATTTTATTGATTAATGAAATATTCTTTTTCGGTTTATAGTTTTACCTTCATTATATTATTCTTGCCTACGTTCCTACATTTTTCATTTTTTACTATCTCGTAACTAATCTAATCGTTCGATAATAATACGTAGGTGTTAATTTGATTTTATCGATTATTAAAATATTCTTTTCTCGGTTATAATTTTATCTCGATTCTTTTCTTGCCTACGTTCCTACATGTTTTTTTTTACTATCTCGTAAATAATGAAATCGTTCAATATTAATACGTAGGTGTTAATTTGATTTTATTAATTTATTAAAATATATTTTTGTGTTGATATAATCTTACGTCTATCTTGTATTTGTATTTTATTATATTTTTTGTTAGATATATAATTTAAAAAATATAGTAAAATTACATATATATATACCGAATATTTGTAATAATTTATTATAATTATTTGAGGATATACGGTGTTAAAATTAAATTGGTTAGACGAATATACGAGTTCAATTTGACGCGATATCTTTTTTTCCCAAATGCTTTAAAGTATCGTTATGGGTAGGGAGGATAGTAGTATTTATAGCATTCAAAGGAGCGTAACGTAATCTTACGCGTGCACAAAATATACCACAAGGAGATCCATTCATCGGCAGAGTTACGTTGTCTCAAGGTACAAGACTCATCATTATTCGCTGATGAAGAGCATCGAGAATGGTGACGAGCAACGTGGAGTACGTTAAAACAACGCGCCCTTTCAGACTTCTTCCATCGTCATTACGATGAACCCTAAG